TTTGGGGGTTTTGTGTAATCATCAAGCCTAAAATTATATTTTAAACGTTGAAAAATGGCTCTGGCAGCAAAAGTGATAAAGGGTAAGCCCAACACTCCCCTTATCCTGACAGTCAATCGGTGCTCATTACACTACAAGGTCTCTCCCCTCCCTGTTAGTCCCCGGGTGCAGTGCTGGAGAGAGGCAGGGAGGGAAGGAGGAGATATGCAGTGCAATGTTAAAAAAAAAATTCAACCTTTTAAGTCACCATAGAGCCCCCTTTGATTTTTAAAAGTCCCAGACATTCCTAAACGCACCTCAGATTTTAAATACAGTTTTGGTTAAAACTTATTATTTTTTTTTCTTTTTTTAATTTTCACACCCCTGTGTACAGTATGATCTGTGTTCTCTCTTAAGGTGATTCTAAAGGCTCAGTTATTATGTTTGGAAAATAACAAACATGTTCTACTTACCTGCTCAGTGCAGTGGTTTTGCACAGAGCAGCTCTGACCCCCCTCTTCACAGGTCATCTGCCAACACTCCTGACTTGATGGTGAAGGGGAACTGTGATGGTACAGAAGGGGGGGGGGGGGGCTCTGATGGTAAAAGGGAACTCTGATGGTACAGGGGGACTGGTAGAGAAAGACATGGGATGGGGAGATGGGACTTGAGAAGGAGAAAGACATGGGATGGAGGAGGTGGTTTTTACATTGCTTTTTTAATATTTTTAAATATGTTATTGTTAATATTCAGCATAAAACATTTCACAGTGTAATATCATGAAATAATTTATGAGGGCAAATTTAGGGGTGGGGAAGGGTAAGGGTTGAGTGGCGCAACTGGTGGCGAGTAACTCTTAAGGCCTGGCTAGTAGCTAAGGACTTGAAATTTTAAGCCCTGTTCTAAGCTATGATATCACAAAGTTTGTAATTTCTGTCACACCAATGGAAGGTGATAATGGGTCAGCTTCTCAGGCTGGGGAAAGAGTGTTCCACTTTCTCCCAGTTCAGGGAGCATGGTCACTCGAGGATACCCAGCTCTCTTTATCATCCTGGAGCTCAGAGCATCGCTGGATCTCCCTTCTGCAGGGGAACCTGCCCAGGGTGAAATCAGACAATGTCACAGCTGTGGCTTACGTCAATCACCAGGGGGGTACCAGGAGTCAGGCAACCCTAAAGGAAGTAAGTCTGTTCATCTCATGGGCAGAGAAACTATTCTTGCTATCTGCTGTTCACATCCTAGGAGTGGACAGTTGGAAGGTGGATTTACCACATCCTGCACCACCTGGACTGTGGTAATCCGTCATATGGGGGACTCTAGATGGGGATATCCTCAGGTTTCAACAAGTTTCATCTGGTTTGTGATGCAACTTTGTAAAGCAGCAGGTTGTAGGAATCATTGCAATCACACCTCTACACTATTGTTGCTGAGGCTCCATTTGCATCTGCGCATAGCGTTTTTCAGCGTTGTTAGCTGTGATATTACTGAGATTTTTGCGTGTTTTCATACAACGTTTTTAGCTGTTTTTGAAGTTTGGCGTTTTTTTTTATTAGCCAATAGAGAAAAATATCATCTATTGCATCATTTGTTGCTAGGTTGGGGTATTTTATTTATTATTCTTATTATTTATTTACAGTATTTTATTTATTTTCTATTTATTTATTTTTTTTATTAGGGTGATAATATTAAAAAATGAATAAATGTAAAATAAATACACAAATACATTAAAATAATCATAAGTAAATACTTATAATAATAATTAACCCATAACCTTAACCCCCTAAAACCTAAAAAAAGTTATAAAAATAATTTATTTTTATTATTATAATTATTGTATTGTTCGGGTGTTAAATTAATTTAATTTTTAAAGGTTAGGTTTTTTCAACATTTATTTCATTTGAGCAGAAAATCGTACAAAATGCGCATTAAAACTCTAAAAAAAAAATGTGCTAATTGCATGTTTATATTTTCTATGGGAATAAAAATGCGTAAAAAAAAAATGTGCAGATCTGCCCAATTTGAGCTACAAAACTTTTTTGAGCTTCAGGCGTTCTGCTTCAGGCAATTTGGAGTGAAGATGTGAACCATCTCTATAGAGTAATATTGATTTTTTTTTTTTTTTTTTTTTTTTTTTCCCCCCCTGAGTGTTTTAGAGCTTTGCGCTACAAAACTCTCAGGTTTGAATGGGGCCTAAGTATCTTTCTGAAATGATGTGCAGTATCAAGCTGCAAACACATTTACCTGTTCGACATTGTGCTTTTTCATAGATTATTACTAAAAAAAAGGATTTCCATAAGAATATAACACATGCATGAAAAGTTTACAGTGGAACCCAAACTGGCTTTTAGTGCTGGCTCTGCCTCAACCAGTGTGAGTGCTGCTTTGCTAGGGATTCTAGGAAACGAATACAAAGGGTGCCTTTATATATTTGCTTGGAATTCTGTCTCAAAGGGTTAAGGAAACTCTAATGCAGGCCATAGATGGGGAAAAAACGGCCGATTTTTTCGTCCGAAAATAAAACGGCCGATTATCTTATCGTTAGTGGACGATTTTGTCGGCCGTTTTTCGTGTATTTTGGACTTTCAGATTATCGGTGATGTTGGAAAATTTTTGAAAAACGCCCGACTTTATCCTCATTGATGGTCAAAAACGAACGATCGTTTTCCGAAAAAGGATCACAAAGGTCACAAAATGACATCATTTCCCGTTATGGCAGGCCATAGATGGGTCGAAAATCGTTTTTCGGCCGAAAATAAAATCGGCCGATTTCGGATCGTTATGGCCGATTTTCGATTTTGGGCCTTTTTTTTTTTTTTTCGGTAAAGTTGGAAAAAAATCGGAAAACCGATTTTGCCGATCGGCCGAAATTAGTGGGCGAATCGGCCGATTTTTTAACCGATAAAAAAACTGCGCATTGACCTGCAAGAGGAAGACAAAAAGAATAAAAAGAAGAGGATGAGGATGAAGAGGATGAGGATGAAGATGAGGATGAGGAAGATGATGAGGATGAAGAGGATGAAGAAGAAGAGGATTGAGGATGAAGAGATGAGGATGAAGAAGAAGAGGAAGATGAGGATGAAGATGAGGATGAGGATGAAGAAGAAGAGGATGAGGATTGAGGATTGAGGATTTTTCTGAGGATGAAGAGGAGGATGCAGAGGAGGATGAAGAGGAGGATGAAGAGGAGGATGAAGAGGAGGATGAAGAGGAGGATGAAGAGGAGGATGAGGAGGATGAAGAGGATGAAGAGGATGAGGATGAGGAGTTCCAGTCCAAAAAAGTGTCTCTGCAGAGAGCTCCGCTATTTCTGACAGTTCCTTGACATTTACAGCAGTTGAAACATTGTATCTGTTTCCGAATAAAAACATCTGTATCCTAAATGGAAATAAATAGATACAATGTTTCAACCGCTGTACATGTCAAGGAACTGTCAGAAATAGCAGAGCTTCTTCACGGACACTTTTTGCCAGCTGTAGAAGGGATGAAAATCGGCCGTTTTTTTTTTTTTTTTTTTTTTTTTTTTTTTTTTTTTTTTTTTTTTTACCATTGATGGCAACGTCGGCCGCTTGAACGACCGAATTTTCGTTTTTTAAAAGAAAAATCTGCCGTTTTTTCTCCCCATCTATGGCCTGCATAATGCAGGCCATAGATGGGCGAGAAAAACAGGCAGATTTTCGGCCGATTAACGAACTATCGGTCGGTCAAAAAATTACCTGACCACCAAATTATTACGAAAATCGGCCGATTAATGAGTAACCTATAACGGGAAATGTCATTTTGTGGCCTTTGTGATCCTTTTTCGGAAAACGATCGTTCGTTTTTTTGACCATCAATGAGGATAAAGTCGGGCATTTTTCGAAAATTTTCCAACATCACCGATAATCTGAAAGTCCAAAATACACGAAAAACGGCCGACAAAATCGTCCACTAACGATAAGATAATCGGCCGGTTTTATTTTCGGACGAAAAATCGGCCGTTTTTCTCCCCATCTATGGCCTGCATAAGGCTCCATGTACACGGGACACTTCTGAATGATGGATACTGACTGCTGGAAAACGTAGGTTAAAAAAAAATCTGTTTAGTTGCATTTGCATACCTCACTTATGCATATTTGAGTGTTTGCGTTTAGAAGCGTTTTTTAAAGATAATCCTCAGGAGACCTTCCAAAATGCCCAGAATGCACTGAAAAACAGTAAAATAATTATTTGACATATTTGAAAGAGAGAGCAGTATTTCTTTTTCTTTTTCTGTGCAGAAATTATTTCAGCAGTGTCTAACATATTTTCTTTCATGCTAAACCTCAAAGTATGGTGTACCAGGTCCATTTGAGTACCAGAAAAAAGCTTTGCATGCATTTTTCATGATGAAAAAAGGCTCTGGACAGCATTAGCTGCATTTACAAGCATTTGGCATTTGAAACGCTGATGAAATCTACTCCTGAACGCAAGTTTGGTGCGTTTAAAAAAAACTACTGTAAACTCAACTACCCGTAAACGACTGTGTACATGGACACATAGGAATACATTAGTTATATATAACAGTTGCAGTGTACATGCGCCTAAAAATGAACTCCTGTTTTTGCTTCCTTTTTGCTCAGATAAATATACCATTGAATGTTTTATGTCTGTTTGATGAGTGTAAAATCCCTGTTAATTCTGCCACAAACCTAGTAAGCTTGTAACCTCCTCCCTGCGTTGCTTAAAATCCCCAAATAGGATTTAGCTCTCCCAGTTCAGTCTGTTATGGAGATAAGGGAAGGGTGAAGTGTTCTGTAGGCCAATCCCAGGAGCCAACAACCAAAGGTGACCACCCTGCTTCTGCATAGATAGTGAGCAACACCCTGGACATGAAGTGTGTTAAGAGAAAGAAGCGTAAAAAAGGGGAAACAAAGGCAACAATTCTGTACCTGGGAATATGAATAATAGGAGTCAATCTGTGTGTTCATTAATGCTATACATTTCAATTATTATAATAATAATATTTATTTTTAATATATAATTTTTTTTTTCTTTTTTTTTAGATCAAAAGGATAAAGCTGTGGAATGGTACAAGAAAGGAATTCAGGAGTTGGAGAAGGGAATTGCAGTACCAGTCACAGGGCAAGGTAATTAATTGTATGTTGTGTATATATTTAAATGCTGAACTTTTTTGTTTTGGTATTTCTTAAGCATTTGTATAAAAGAGATAAGACCAGTGTAAATGTTCTAATCAATGCTTGGTTTAAGAATCTCGTTATGTTATCATGTATGAACTGGAAGATGCAATATACACTATACACTGGCCACTTTATTAGGTACACTTGTTCAATTGCTTGGTAACAAAATGCTAATCAGCCAATCCATGGATTTAGGCATCTAGACGTGGTGAATTTGACTTTGTGAATTTCAAGTTGAGCCTCAGAATGGGGAAGAACAGGGATTTGGGTGACTGAACATGATATGGTTGCTTTTGCCAGACAGGCAGGTCATCGTGTTTAAAAAAAAATGCTGGTCTAGTGGGATTTTCACGCACAAACCATCTCTAGGGTTTACAGAGAATGGTCCGAAAAAGAGAAAATATCCAGTGAGCTGCAGTTGTGTGGACGAAAAATGCCTTGTTAATGTCAAAAGTCAGTGGAGACCGGGCAGACTGGTTGCTCTGATATTCAGATGGTACTGACCATTATCCTTCAGTTATAAGGATAAAAAATGGGTAGAGGGAAGGGTACTGTACTCCTAGAAACAGATTTTACAGGTAATGTAAAAATTTTACAGGTGGGCATCACAGCAAACAAACTGCCAACAAGGCCACAAATAAAAAAGGCAACATCAGCAGAGCCTTGAACATCCACGTGGTAAAACTTGTCAAACGTAAACAGGAGTCCACATAGCAGCCTTACAAATATGCGAAACTGTTTGTAGGGCTGAGACAACTAATCAACATAATCCATTATAATAGACTGTAAAAATAGTTGCCCATTATTTTCATGATCACGAAGTTGGTCAGCAGATTAGTTGGCCTGTCAGTATACTCAGTGCAGCACACATACAGCTCAGTACACCATCCATACATGTCAGTAAGTGTCTGAGAACTTGTGAATGTGTGAGGAGCAACGCCTTACGGGGCAAGTAGTCCTGGGCAGGAGAAGGAAGTAAGTGATTCTAAAGGCAGAAGTTTCCTCCTCTTCCCTCCCCTCCTCCCTCTCCTCCTTCCTCCCTCGCTTTTAGGTGGTTGTGCTAGTTGCACGGGCCTTCTAGTATATGCTTCCATGTGATTCCAGTTACAGTGGACATGGAGGGGTTGCATGTCATTTCTCTCTCCTTTTTTTTTTTTTTTTTTTTTTTTTTTTTTTTTCGTATCCTAGTTGTTGGACCTTTCCTATTATCACCTTCTTGGTGTTCCTTAAGTTTCTTTCTCTACCAGAAAAGAATCCGCTATCCCCATGGATGCAGAGGCTCTAGTGAATCCGTCCCTTACTCACATTTGGTCACGCTCTGAGTCGTCCCCTGCCTCACTGGTCCCCCTGAAAGAACAGCAGTATGGCTGGTGTGTGGGTATACTGGCATCCAGACACCATGGTGGGAGGGCAAGCAGATATTGGATGAAGCAGTAGGTGGACCTAGGTACACCAGATTTCATCCTGTTGGCAACATTACACCATTCAGTCTAATTCTGCCTTGATAATTGCCATGTTTCTGACAGATGGCTCTAAGGTAGGTTGGTTGGAGTTTTTTGCTTATAGCTCTCCCATCTACTATACCCATACTGTAGGAAGGCACAGTGGGCAGCTGTAATGGTGATGTGCAATATTGGAAGTAGAACTACTATTATGACATTCAGCTCCTGACGATTAGGTAAATGTTTGAGCACTAGTACAAACCTTTTGGTCGTACGAACTTTTGGCTTCAACTTGTGATGGGAGCAAACCTTGAGCTCATCCCTACTCAGGTACCCTTGTACCTACAGAATTGTGTTGCTTTGAAGTTCTAAAACTTTTTCCTAGTGTCTAAAAGTGATGTCTTTCCCTGGAATGAAACCCGTTTGACAGGGGTGAATAAGCTCAGTGATTTAACCTACTTAAGTAAAGTGACAACACCTTTTTGTTCCTGGAGTCACATAGGCCTATTTCCCTGTTGTAGTTAGATACCAGGATTATAGCAGAGACTTCTCGTAGGGTGTGGATAACAGAATAATGGCCGCTTGTCTCATGGAAGGGGGTTGGTGGCAGCATAGAAGATTCAAGGGCTGCGTTACAAATGTGGAGAATGGGAACCGGACAGTTCTGGAATTCTATATCAAATTAATTTGGAATATATCTGGTCTAGGAGCCTTGGCTTTAGCAAACTGGGTGAGAGCCCCCTGAATTTTGTTTTAATGTTGGGGGTGCATCTAGCATTTAAACCTGTGCGACTGAGCTTGAGGAGATCAGTTTGGTGCATATAGGCCCCCAGTTTGGCTGTTGTGTATGTGGAGGTGAAAAACTTTTGGGTTAGTAATAATCTGACCATCTGTAGAGGCCAGTGAGATATGACCTTGGGTGGTTTGAATTGTAATGTGCTAGGCAGGCTAATAGTTTAACACAACAGTCACCAAGTTTTTTTTTTTTTTTTTTCCTTTTTTTTTTTTTTTTTTGTAGTTTTGGCGTAATGGGGGGTGTTACTAAAACTGGACTGTGCAAAATCTGGTGCAGCTGTGCATAGAAACCAATTAGCTTCCAGGTTTTATTGTCAAAGCTTAATTGAGCAAGCTGAAGTTAGAAGCTGATTGGCTACCATGCACAGCTGCACCCGATTCTGAGTGCTCCCCGTTTTACTAAATCTCCCCAAATGCATCTGTTGTACTATTCTTGCTTGTAATTTTAAGTCTGTAGCATGGGCTTGCGAAGAGTGAGCCATAAAAGCTGCTGCCATCTCCTCTAATTTAAATTTAGCCCTATTCCCTTCCTCCAAGGAGAACCGTCTTGATAAAGATATGCAGGCCATAGACTGGGAGAAAACCGGCGTTTTTTTTTTTTTTTTTTGAAAAACGAAAAATCGATCAATCAGCCGACATTACCACTATTGGTGAAAAAAAAGGTCGGCTGATTTTCGTCCCGTCTACAGCCGGCAATTATATAGAATATATGCAGAAGAAGCAGAAATAGAATATGAAGAAGAAATAGAATACGAAGCAAAAGAAGAAATAGATACAATGTTGCAACTTTTTCTTCTTCTGCATATTCTATTTGTATCCATTTCGGATACAGATGTTTCTATTCGGATACAAATATACAATGTTGCTATACTTTTAAATGTCAAATATAATATCGGACTGATTCTTCTTCTTTTTTTTTTTTTTTCTGCTTCTTCATATTCTATTTTCTTCTCATTTTATTATATTTTTTTCCTTTTCTTCTTTTCCTTCTTCTTTCATGTCACTGCTCATCCGCATTTTTAAATATTGGAAAAAGATCTGCAAATTTTTCCATCATTGCCGTGAAAATCGGCAGAATGACAAATTTGGCCAATTTATCTTGCAACAGGACTGATAATCTAAAAGGTCATAAATCACAAAAAACGTTTTTGGTTTTTTTTTTTTTCTTTGGCCGATTTTCGGTCATTTTTCATCTCATCTATGGCCTGCATTAGAGCAGCTCCAGTCTCCTGTGTAAAAATTAAGTCAGCAAAAACTGTAGCTGTTGACTTTTAATAAACAGCTACTCACCTGTCCCACGATCAAGCGGTGTGCTCACCCCAGCGGTTTTTTTTTTTTTTTTTTTTTTTTTTTTTTTTTTTTTTTTCTGCTTTAATAGGGGTATCAAGTTTAGCTTTACATGAGTTTTAAAGGTTTTGCAAACTGAGAATATCAGAGGTGCTTAAGAGATATTTGTTATCTGGGATGAAAATTATCTATTCCTGCAGGATGGTTGGTTTGTCGGGCAGTAAGCATAGCAAAAATGTATTAAGACTCCAATCAGGAGAAATGAGTTTCTGTGACAATTGAATATTCATCCAGCAGTGGGAGTGATTTGAGATGGATATCTATCTATCTTACTAGTAGGTTACCAACCCAAAAATGAATGCAAAGTAGAAACTGGTCATTTTAAGTGGCCTATTGGTAATAAATCAAAACAGTAATGTCTTAGGTTACACAGTCAACATGTTTCGTGGTCAGAAAACGCTTCTTCAGGACCTCCGTATTTCTGTATAACATATTGTACATATACGTTTTCTATTGGTTAACAACAAAGAGTGGACAAGGAACAATCACACAAAGGGGGGCCATCACATCTATCCAGGCTGTGGGGAGGCCAATTGAAAAGCAATCAAGAGGGGAGGACATATTCTATGCAGCCTCAAACCAGATGGGAGGACATATTCTATGCAGCCTCAAACCAGTTTTCAAGTGCCATCAGACGATCACATAACAAATACACTACTCAAAAAATTAAAAGAACACTTTGAAAACACCATCAGATCTCGATGGGGAAAATATCATGCTGGATATCTATACTGATATGGATCGGGTAATGTGTTAGGAACACAAGGATGCCCCATTGTTTCATGTAAATGAAAATTATCAACCTACAGAGGACTGAATTTAAAGACACCCCCAAAAATCAAAGTGAAACAATGATGCAGCAGGCTAGTCCATTTTGCTGAAATTTTAGTGCAGCAACTCAAAATGGTACTCAGTAGTTTGTATGGCCCCCACGTGCTTGTATGCATGCCTGACAATGTCGGGGTATGCTCCTAATGAGACTGATGGTGTCCTGGGGTATTTCATCCCAAATATGGAACAGGGCATCACTGAGCGCCTGGACAGTCTGAGCTGCAACCTGTTGTCGGGGCCATTCAATGGTATCAATTCCTTCATTCTCCAGGAACTGCCTGCATCCTCTCTCCACATGAGGCCAGGCATTGTCATGCACCAGGAAGAACCCAGGATCCACTGCACCAGCGTAGGGTCTGAAAATGGTCCAAGGATTTCATCCCGATACCTAATGGCAGTCAGGTTGCCATTTTCTAGCCTGTAGAGGTCTGTGCGTCTCTCCATGGATATGCTTCCCCAGACCATCACTGACCCACCATCAAAACTGTCATGCTGAATGATGTTACAGGCAGCATAACTTTCTCCACGGCATCTCCATACCCTTTCACATCTGTCACATGTGCTCAGGGTAGGGTGAACCTACTCTCATCTGTGAAAAGCACAGGGTGCCAGTTGCAGACCTGCAAATTCTGGTGTTCAATGGCAAACGCAGTGAGTACAGGGCCCACTAGAGGACGTCTGGCCCTCAGGCCACCCTTATGAAGTCTGTTTCTGATTGTTTGCTCAGAGACATTCACACCAGTGGCCTCCTGAAGGTCATTTTGTAGGGCTCTGGCAGTACTCATCCTGTTCTTCCTTGCATAAAGGAACAGATACTGGTCCTGCTGATGGGTTAGGGACCTTCTACATCCCTGTCCAGCTCCCTGTCCAACTCCTAGAGTAACTGCCTGTCTCCTGGAATCTCCTCCATGTAGCAAGCGTACACACAGAGATGGATGCGGTTCAACCATTTTGCTCCAACCCTCCATTTTGTTAAGAATTCTCCCTCCCTCTCTAAGAGTCACAGCGACATTTGGCCTGTGTGTGTTTAAAAGTGTCACAGGCCGGAGCCCAGCAGGGAGCCAGGAAGTGCCTTGCTGTCCAAAGAACCTGTGCAATTTAACACCTCGTAAAAAGATAACGCAGCCTTCCCAGCAGTTCAAAAACATTGAACCAGATAATCTTTTTAAAAATCCATTTTTTCCCTATGTCTCATATCTTGGAATATGAGAGACTTACATAAAAAACAGGCATATCGTCAGATTGGCCAAGAGGAGGCGAACAGTTTGATAGGTCACTCTCCATGGTTGGAATATATAGGAAAGCAGAAAAGTAGATCTCGTGAACCATTCAGTGTAGAATTTCATATCTAGTCAATGCTCAGACGTGTCTGCATAATAATCTACCCACGGGTGGAGTGCCACTTGTTCAGATGAAAAGTTATGAGCAAAAATATGAACTATAAGAGATTTTGGCTCTAGTTTAGGTCTACGCCCAGACTTTCCTGCCCTAGACGGGGGTATTGGTCCTTGACTTCAGAGACACCCCCTGCCTGTGTATGTGTTACATATTTTTTCTGTAAATATTTTTATTGCACCCTTTTTAAACTTTTAGTAATAAATCAATAAATCTTTCCTTCTGAAAGTGTTAAACTGTTTCTATAGCTCCTAATTGCAATTTACTAATTCCTTCCTCTAAAAAGAGCGCTACTGTGTTTGTTTAACCCTCTGTATAACCGGCCTGCGGTGACCGTGGTGTACAGACTATTATCTCAACCATTATAGTGTTATAGCTGACATTGCCGAGTTACCTTTTTCTCTGTACAAAAAGGTGGTGGCAGTGTGAAGGGTTAATTGCATAATTAACCTAACCCAGTAACAATCGCTCAGGCTGCCGGTACATAGATTGTGGTCCAATTCGCTGGAAAATCGTTGTGCAGGGTGCAGCTGGCTGTGGCATTGTTACACACGTGACACTGCGGTTTTAGATTGGCTAGTCCTTCGGTCATGAGTTTGGTGAGAAAGGCTGGGGCCTGACGACGTGTTCATCACATATTGGTGACAGTGATCGTGGGATCGCCACATATTGGTGGCAGCGATCTTGCGTCCGTCACACTCCATGCTTTTGAGACTGTGCTGGGAGTCACTGTAAACCTTCAAGTAGTGGCAGGTATTGATGTGCCATCCTGGAGGAGTTGGACTGCCTGTGCAACCTCTGTAGGGTCCAGGTATCGCCTCATGCTACCGGTAGTGACACTGACCCTAGCCAAATGCAAAACTAGTGAAAAACAGTCACAAAAGATGAGGAAAAAAAAAATGGCAGTGGCCTCCACCTGTAAAACCATTCCTGTTTTGGGGCTCATCTCATTGTGGCCCATCTAGCGCACCTGTTGATGATTTTAATAACACCAAATCAACTGAAACTGATTAACAACCTCCTCTGCTACTTAACTGAGCAGATCAATATCCCAGGAGTTTGACTTGATGCTATAACGCTGATTAAAAAAGTGTTCCTTTAATTTTTTTTGAGCAATGTATAATGGGAGATAAATATTTTCTGAATTAATATGACATACGCAAGGGTATCCTCAATCACCATGAAAAAAAAATCACAAGATGATAGATGTAATAAAAGGAAGTCTTTTTATAAAGTGTTCCAGGTAGGTTTCAAGCTGTTGTTTTGAACTATGTTCCAGACAGATGTGACACGGCCTTTCCTTCCGTATCCACACAAACTGAGCAGCATTAGTTAGATGCACGTCAGATAGTCCATATCCTTGATTTTAGGCAGTCAGGATGCACTGACAATCAAATCAATTTCAGACACGAAATTATATGTGGCTGGAAAAAAAAAAACAGCAACAGATTATCTTGATACTTATATCACCAGGCTTCCACCACCTAGAAAATGTATTTTCTGTCTGGCAAATCTAGTGGGCATGGCAGTAGACTCCCACTCTGAGGGGTAAGTCTGTCCATATGACTATGCCGAATTTTATATTAAAATCACCCAAGCAAATAGATGCGTATCGTGCCACGAAGTTCAGACCTTCCTGCAGTATTGTAAAGTTAAAAGTGGGCGGAATATAAAATGCTGTTAACGGTATAGATTGGTTATAAAGTCTTTCAAGTGCTCTATTTTATAATGACTATGATAAGCGAGCGCTTCATGTCATTTAAGCAGCTAGCATAGGGATAAACCCTTAAGTCCTTTAAAATGTCAATAATGTAAAATGCAGCGCTAAAATAATGATATAAAAATCGTATGAATAAAAGTGACTGGTGATACGGTCAAGCGCTAATTAGTGACAATGGTGTATCAAAATTATGATGGATATAGTGACATATAAAACGTATAACATAAACGTGATCAGTCCAATGAACAATAATGATATAGAAAAGAGTGTAATAATATTCCGGTGTCTTGGGATAAGGGTCGTCCTCACACGTAATGCATGGAAATAAGGTGCTCGTGACTTCCGTGGTAAGGAAAATGAGGTATTACTGCACTCACCGGACGCACAATATTAATGCGCATGTAATGTAATATCCGGAAAGGCACTGGTAGTCATCAAGGAACTGGTAGAGATGAGGGGCTCCACTGGTACACCACGCACCCAGAAAGAACTCCAGACCTCTCAGCTAGGAACTTCACAGCATACAGGGACTGCTCCTTTTGCTTTACTTACACCAGGTATCCACAGTGTCAGGAACGGTAGGTATCCACCTTGAATGGCTCAAAAATTCAGCCACCAAACAAGAATTGCTGGTATAGTGTAGTATATTTATTGAGCCATTGATCAATCAAGGTATAAAGTGCACAGCAGTAAATGTATCTCAAAGCATTAATTTCCAAAGCATCTGGATAGTACTAGAACCGAGGTAGCTAACATGCGGCCTCGGCGGTCAGTGACGTCAGCGCGGCAGGCTCCTACTGATGCGTTTTCGTGCGAAAGCACGTTGTCAAACGTTAGGGAGGAGCACCTTATTTCCATGCATTACGTGTGAGGACGACCCTTATCCCAAGACACCGGAATATTATTACACTATTTGCTTTATCATTATTGTTCATTTGGACTTATCACGTTTATGTTATACGTTTTATATGTCACTATATCTGTCATAATCTTGACAATACATCATTATCACTATTTAGCGCTCCATTTAGCGCTTGACCTTATCAACAGTCACTTTTATTTATACAATTTTATATCATTATTTTAGCGCTGCATTTTACATTATTGAAGTGCTCTATTTTACATGGTGGGAACCCAATCCTGTTTTAATTGCTCATTAACCTGATGGTTTGATGTATGTTCGTTTTCTGCATGCAGGTGAACAATATGACAGAGCACGACGTCTACAAACTAAAATGACAACAAATCTACTAATGGCAAAGGATCGGTTACAGTTATTGGGTAAGATTTTGTTTGTTTTGCTTATATAAATTGTTTAATTTAAGAAAACTCCTGAACCCCTAATCAAAACTTTTTTTTTTTTTTTTTACCTTTTTTCTGTCTCTAAAGACAAGGTGACTTTTTAGTATGAAAATTTAAGCTGTCCTTTTTACTAGACAACAAATGCCCTAGTAAACCATTCCTGAGAGAAATATGTTGGCTGTCGTTGCTGACCCCATTTTGAAAATCATAGTTGCCTGACTAGTGCTAATCATTGGAAATAAAGTTTGAAGTAGGAACACCTTGTCTGAATACCGGTTTGAGTTAAGTGATTCAAAAAGGGTTGAAGGTAGAGGATCTGTCAAGCAGCTAGCATTTTCATTAAAGGACTGGCAGGCTTCAGTTTCTTTCAGTCAAGTTTTCATTTTATTCAAAGATCGTAAGAACTGTTCTGTGTTTGTGTTTGCCCATGATTAATTTCTTAATTTCCTCTTCTTCGTATGTATTGCAATGACAACCAATACATGCTGTGAAAGACTGGCCACTCAAAGCTCCAAGTGTGTGTGTGTGTGTGTGTGTGTTTTTGTTTTTTGTTGTCCTTTACCTTGTTAGGTTATGTCTGACATTACTTTGAAATGATAGAAGTAGTTACTACTTTAGATACATATTTTAGAATACTACAGCCAGTTTAGACAGGAGCCAATTAACCTATCGGCATGTCTTATGTTTGTTTTATCTTTTAATTTCCTATTGTTTCTAGTGCTACAAATACTAATATAAAATAGTCTGAACGCATCTCCATTGATTTTTTTTTTTTTTTTTTTGGCTCACTACATTTTCCCCAAAGGGGCCATAAATGAGTCAGATTTTTACGTTCAGCAGGTTGAATGAGAAAAATTGACTCAATTTCCCCATCCACACATGCAATGTGGATGCAAGAATCCTCTCCTCTGTGTCTTTGTATTCCGACAGTAGGGACTGTAGCACTGATCAAGTGGAAATTTTCGAACACAGGGTGGTTAAACAGAAGTCAGTTGATTCAATCACCGTAGCCAGAAGGTGGATCAAAATTCAGCCAGTCCCTGCTGAACTGGCTGACTTTCAATCCATTTATGGCCAGCTTTAGCTAATGGGAGTCTATGCATTTAGATTACTTAACTTTGTTGTACAAGTGTTGTCCTGCTATTTTTAGTTATTTAAATTTATTCTCATTCTTCTGCTGACGAGTTTTGATCATGCATTTCACCAATAAGTGATATGTTTAGTTAAAATCACAGTGGCTAAATGGTTAGCACGTCTGCCTGGCAGTACTAGGGTCATTCCCAACCACGGCACCACCTGCCTGGAGTTTGCACCCTGTGCCGGCGTGGGTTTCCTCCCACACTCCAAAGACATGCTGGTAGGTTAATTGGATCCTGTCTAAATTGGCCCTAGTATGTGTATGTATGAATGGGAGTTAGGGACCTTAGATTGTATGCCCCTTGAGGGTTAGGGACTGATGTGAATGTAAAATACAGTATATATGTAAAAGCTGCGTAAATTGATGGCGCTATATAAGTACCTGAAATAAATATAAAACCATACATAATAAAAAAAAAAAAAAAAACCCTGCAATATATGGGGATGCTGAGAAGTCATGAGCATAAATGTACAGTATAAAATAAAAGAAACATTGTGCTCATATGTAGACATGCAATTTTCTAGCTGCCTACTCTGGTTTAGCTATAGGATGATGGGAAGAAATTTGCTTTCAAAAACAGCAATCAATGTGACTAGATTAGAATGGGACTATAAATATAGAGGATGATCAGATTAATAAACCTGCCTCCCTTCAATCCCCCAATCTGACATGTTGATTCTACTTTTATAGTATGCCTTAAAGAATGTGCTGTTTAGTATTAAATGTATTATGATGAAAAATGCTGTTTTCACTTCAAATCTTTTGTGGTCTTCCAAAAGCTCAAATATCAGAAATGCTTTTTTATGGGTTTTTTTTTTTTTTTTTTTTTTTTTTAAAAAATTTTAGAAAATGACAGGCTGGCTGGATTTGCTGAACAGTGTGCATGATGTTTGCTACTTTTGCACTGTACAAATGCCTTGCTTATTCTAATAACACACACAAGGAATCTATCTTGGAAGCCTTAAAATTAGTGTTAATGCTCTGTGTTTTCTTGATCACTGAAAAAAATATAGTTTTGTCTAAAAACCAGTTTCACCTTTAAAACATTTGGCTTATCAGATCTTATTTTTCGGAGCTGCTTTGTGATGTTTCTATAATGTGAAAAGTAAAGACTGGTAGTCCTCCATTCTAAACCTAAAGTGCACTATTATCTAGGGCCTTCTGTGTAGTGGTAAGTAGTCCCACTCTTAGGCTGGATTCATGCTTAAGCGTAGCCTCTTTGAGCATTTTTTGCAAATGTTTTTTTTTTTTTTTGCTCTGTTTCACACGTTTTTCATGTATTGTTTCTTAAGCATTTTGAATTTTTTTTTTTTTTTTTTTTAAGCCTTTCCATCAGTTTTTTTATTTATTTGTTAGGGTAAGGTGTTAGATTTGAGGTTAGGGGTTGGGTTTAGGGTTAATGGTTAATATTGTCTTATTATTTTTATTTATTTTGTTAGGGTGATAATAAATGTAAATACACAAAAATAATCAAATCATAAATGAATAAAATATAATAATAAATTATAATTAACCTCTAACCTTAACCCTCTAAGTAAAAAAAAATAAATGAAATAACCCTAACAAAAATAAAATCAATAATAATATGAGGAATTATTACATTATTATTATTTGGTTAGGCTGTTTATTACATAATTATGATTTTTATTTCTGTTTATTCATTTATTATTATTTTATTATTTTTACGAGCTTTTTATTTGAGTAGAAAAATACCCCAAAAACACTTGTTTCCCTTCATTTCTATGGAATTTAAAAATGTTCAAATCTTCCCGATTTGAGCAACAAAAAAAGCACCAGTACTTGTTTGCGCTTCGGGTGTTTGGCTTCAGGTGACCCATCTCCATTGAATATAATTAATTTCTTTTGAGCTACAAATCATTCAGGTATGAATGGGGCCTAGTACTCCCTTTTCTTTGTTTTGTGAAGCACATCAATGCTTTGGTCTATGTTGCTTGAGATGCGAGTGAGTTACTCCACAGAAGTATCTGAATTAAGAGCTCACATTTTTGGTTTAAAGTGAAAAGCTCCTTTTTAGGGCCCATGTCAATAGGCATTTGTTCACTTCTCTGGGACTGGAGAACTAGCTTGAAGCAGACAGGAGGTCAACTGCAGGTCAGATGTACCTGTCATTGAATTCTGAATGATCTTAGAATTGACGCAAGCCCAAAGCACTAAAGGAGCCCTCAGTAGCATGCAATAGGATCATTTCACAAATCTTAATTTGAAGGGAAAATAAAAAAAATATATATATAAAAAAAGTCTACACACCCCTGTTAAAATGTCAGGTTTCTGTGATGTAAAAATTGAGACAGATAAATAATTTCAGAACTTTTTCCACCTTTTTAATGTGACCTGTAAACTGTACATCTCAATTGAAAAACAAACTGAAATCTTTTATGCAACCACATTATTGTGTTTTTTTTTTTTTTTTTTTTTTTTTTTTGTTTACTCCCCCCTAAGTGTGCACACCCTCCTCCTGTAACTGGGAATGTAGCGGTGTTCAGAATTAAGCACTCACATTCAAAATCATGTTAAATAGGAGTCAGTACACACCTGCCATCATTTTAAAGTGCCTCTGATTTAACCCCAAATAAAGTTCAGCTGTTCTAGTAGGTCTTTCCTGACACTTTCTTACTCGCATCCTACAGCAAAAGCCATGGTCCGCAGAGCGCTTCCAAAGCATTAGAGGGATCTCATTGTTAAGTATCAGTCATTAGAAGGGTACAAAAGAACTTCCAAGGCATTAGATATACCATGGAACACAGTGAAGACAGTCATCAAGTGAAGAAAATATGGCGCAACAGTGACATTACCAAGAACTGGACGTCCCTCCAGAATTGATGAAAAGACGAGAAGAAAACTGGTCTGAGAGGCTGCCAAGAGGCCTACAGCATCATTACAGAAGCAGCAGGCATATCTGGCAAGTACTGGTTGTTTGGTACATGTGACAACAATCTCCCATATTCTTCATATGTCTGGGCTATGGGGTAGAATTGCAAAACAGAAGCGTTTTCTTACTTAAGAAAAACATCCAAGCCCAGCTAAATTTTGCAAAAACACATCTGAAGTCTCCAAAAAGCATGTGGGAAAATGTGTTCTGGTCTGATGAAACCAAGTTTGACCTTTTTGGCCATAATGCCAAAAGATATGTTTGGTGCAAAAACAACACTGCACATCACCAAAAGAACACTATACACACAGTGAAGCATGGTGGTGTCAGCATCATGTTTTGGGGCTGTTTTTTCTTCAGCTGGAACTGGGGCCTTAGTCAAGGTAGAGGGAATTATAAACCTTTCCAAATACCAGTCAATATTGGCACAAAACCTTCAGGCTTCTGCTAGAAAGCTGAACATGAAGAGGAACTTCACCTTTCAGCATGACAACAACCCAAAGCCTACATCCAAATCAACAAAAGAATGGCTTCACCAGAAGAAGATTAAAGTTTTGGAATGGCCCAGACCTAAATCCAATTGAAAATCTGTGGGGTGATCTGAAGAGGGCTGTGCACAGGATATGCCCTCGCAATCTGACAGATTTGCAAGGAAGAGTGGGCAAGTATTGCCACGTCAAGATGTGCCATATTGATAGACTCATACCAAACAATTTTATTATTTTAGTTTTTTTTTTACTTCCCTCCACCTAAATTATTTCAGTTTGTTGTACAGTTTAAAGGTGGAAAATGTTCTGAAATGATTTATCTTTTGTCATTTTATTTTTTACATCACAGAAACCTGATATTTTAGGGGTGGATGGACTCTTTATAAACTGTGTGTGTGTGTATGATCGTGTGTATGTGTGTGTGTGTATATATATATATGTGTGTGTGTGTGTGTGTGTGTGT